TAGCACTGTAGGATAAGCACTGGACCACAAGGTCAGTTTGAACCACACGCAGATGGGCGGTTCAAACCCACCAGCCGCTCCTCAGAAACCCTATGCAGGGTCGCTACGAGACAGAACTGAGTGGATAGCACTTAATAACAACAACAACGCATTGTTGTTGTTAGGTGCCAAGTCGATTCCATGTCACAGAGTAGAACTGCCCTATAGGATTTCTAGGCAGCTCTGGTAGCGTAGAGGTTACACATGGGGCTGCTAATGAAAAGGTCAGCAGTTCAAATCTATCAGCGGCTCCGCAGGAGAAAGATGAGGCTTTCTGTTCCCATAAAGATTTACAGCCCTGGAAACCCTAAACCACCACCATCACCAATCTTTACAAGTGCAGATTTTACCAGGTCTTTTCTCCCAAAGAGCCAATGAATAGGTTCAAACCACTAACCTTTCAGTTAGCAGCCAAGTACTTAACTATTGTGCCACCAGGGTTCCTTGCTTAATGTATAAGCAGAGAAGAAATGAGGAGAGAAAAGTGCTGAATAGAAAATTTCAAAGGGCAGCCTGAGAAGACAAAGTAAAGTATTATAATGAAATATACAAAGACCTGGAGTTAGAAAACCAAAAGGGAAGAACACACTCAGCATTTCTCAAGCTGAAAGAAATGAAGAAAAAAAAAAAAATCAAGACACAAACTTGAAATATTGAAGGATTCTCTGGGCAAATATGGAATAGTGCAGAAAATACCAAAAGATGATGGAAGGAATACACAGAGTCACTATACCAAAAATTAATGGTGGATGTTCACCCTTTTCAAGAGGTAGTTTATGACCAAAAGTCAATGGTACTGAGGGAAGAAGTCCAAGGTGCACTGAAGGCATTGGCAAAGAACAAGGCTCTGGGAATTGATGGAATACAAATTGAAATCTTTCAACAAACTGATGCAAAACTAGAGACACTCATCTATGCTAAGAAATTTAGAAGACAGCTACCTGGCCAACCAATTGGAAGAGATCTGTATGGAATGTGGAAATCATCATACAATATCATTAGTATCCCATGCAAATAAAATTTTGCTAAAGATAATTATAAACTGGCTGCAACAGGACAGCGATAGAGAGCTACCAGAGGTTAAGCTGAATTTAGAAGAGACATGGAATGAAGGACATCACTGCTGACATCAAACGGATCTTGGCTGAAAGCAGAGAACACCAGGAATATATTTATCCATGTTTATTGACTATGCAAAGGCTTTCAATTGTGTGGATCATGAAACGTTATGGATAATATTGCAAAGAATTAGTATTTCAGACACTTAATTGTGCTCGTGAGGACTCTGTACAGAGCCAAAAAGCAGTTGTTCTAACAGAACAAGGGGACACTGAATGGTTTAAAATCAGGAAAGGTGTGTTAGGATTGTATTCTTTCACCATTCTTATTCAAACTGTATGTTGAGCAAATCATCCAAGAAACTGGATTATTATATTAAGAAGAACTTGGCATCAGGATAGGAGGAAGACTCGTTAACAACCTGCGATATGCAAATGATACAACCTTGCTTGCTGAAAGTGAAGAGGACTTAAAATATTTACTGATGAAGATCAAATACCAAAGCCTTCAGTATGGGCAGCACCTCAATGTAAAGAAAACAAAAATTCTCACAGCTGGGCCAATAAATAACCTCATGAAAAATGGAGGAAAGATTGAAGCTGTCAATGACTTCATTTTGCTTGGATTCACTATCAACATTCATGGAAGCAGTAATCAAGAAATCAAATGAGGCATCTAATGCAAATTTGCTGCGCAAGACCTCTTCAAAGTGTTCAGGCACGAGGATCACAGTTTGAGGACTAAGGTGAGCCTGACCCAAGCCATGCCATTTTCAATAGCCTTATATGCATAGAAAAGTTGGACAAAGGAAGGCATGGAAGAATTGATGCATTTGAGTTATGGTGTTGGAGAAGAATATTAAAAGTACCATGGACTGTCAAAGACAAACAAACAAATCTGTGTTGGAAGAAGCACAGTCAGAATGTTCCTTAGAAGCCAGCATGGCGAGACTTCATCTCTCATACTTTGTTCAGACATCATGCTTGGTAAAGTAGAGGGCTGGTGACAAAGAGGAAGACTCCCAATGGGATGGATTGGCATGGTGGCAGCAGTAATGGATTCAAGTGTAACACGATGGTGCAGGACTGAAAGGCAGTGTTTCGTTCTGTTGTGTATATGAGTTGGAATCAACTCGATTGCACCTAACAACAACAAGCAATAGCGATCATCTATCTGTCTTTGAAGTCCTAGTGTGGTGCTGTAACATTTAAGCAATGGACTGCTAACTGCAAAGTCTACAGTTTAAACCCACCAGCCACTCCTAGGCAGCCCTCTATAGGGTAGCTATGAGCTGGAACAGACTCAACAGACTTAACAATAACCATCTGTGAAGAGTCCCTGGTGTAGTGCTGTTAACTGCTAACTGAAAGTTCCACAGTTCAAACCCACCAGCTGCTCTCAGAAAGTCTATAGAGGCTCACAATAAGTCAAATCCAACTTGATGGCACGCAGCAATAATACCACCACCAATCACGGGACTCATTAGGATTTCACTGGTAGAATTCTCACTTCCCAAGAGGAAAATCCAAGTTCTAGTCCAAGTCAATGCACTTTACACTCTGCTACCACCCATCTGGAGCTCTGGTAGCGTAGTGGTTACGAATCGGGCTGCGAACCTTAAGGTCAGCGGTTCGAAACTACCAGGTGCTCCGCGGGACAAAGATGAGGCTTTCTACTCCCGTAAAGATTTACACCCTCGGAAACCCTATACAGGGTCGCTATGGGTCGGAACCGACTCCACGGCACATAACAACAACAACAACCACCCATCTGGAGTCCTGGTGTGGCACTGTGGGTTAATGTGCCAGACTGCAAAGCTGTTTGAACTGCAAAGTCAGTGGTTCAAGCTCACCAGCTGCTCCTCGGAAACCCTATACAGTGTCGCTATGGGTCAGAACCGACTCGACGGCACTTCACAACAACCACTACCCATCTGTCACAGAGTCCTGATGTGGCGCTGCAGATTGATGCTCTAGACTGCAAGGTCAGTTTGAACTGCAATGTGAGTAGTCCTTGGAAACCCTATATAGGGTTGCTATGAATCGGAATCAACTCAGTGGCAATTAACAAAAACAACCCATAGGTCAGTGGAATCATCTATGTCCCTACGATGCTGAATAGGTTTCAGCAGAGCTTCCAGGCAAAGATGGACTAGACAGCAAGACTCGAAAGCAAGATTTACTTCTGAAAACCAGTCAATGGAAACTCTATGGACCACAGTGGCCTCGAGCAGGACCTGGCCGTGTTTCTTTCTGTTCTGCAGAGTCCCTGTGAGCCAGGGGTCTACTCAATAGCAGCTGACACCAGCACTGGCGTCTATGAACCAGCCCTGACGAATCTTCTCTAGAACTGAACTGCACACAGGTAAGGGTCTTAGAACAACCTTACAGAGACAAGGAAAAGCAGCCAAACAGAAAACCCTTTACATGAAACTTCTATTGGATTGCCTCTTTGTTCCCATTCAGGCCCACAGGCCTGCAGCTTACCTGATGTTTTCATTCAATGCATAAAGCTCGTTGCTTTGCAAGCCGCCCCCTTTGAAGACGTTGATCACAGCAGTCTGGACACTGTGGAGAAATAGGAATTAACTCCAAGTTGGAGGATCTGTCTACCCTGGGTCATCTCAACAAGAAACGCTGGGCTGAAGGAGGGTGCACAGGCCAGGAAGCCCACACATAAACATAGCCATTCTTCCCATGCCTAGAATCATCCTTTCCTGCCCAGAGGGAAGAAGACTGAAGTTGGTAGAGCACAGAATTAACTCCCTACCCCCACCCCCTACCCCCTGCCTTCTAACAGACCCTCTGACAGACAGCCCTGTTGGTGAGGGCAACAACAAAAGCTCAGGCAGTGGGCTTTGTTCTGAGCAAACTGTGTGCTCAGCAAGCTGGACCAGAAATCATTCAAAATGGGGTCCACTGTAAACAGGAGCCAGGTGGGGATCCTTTCACCTATGAGGCCTTTGTCTTCACTAGGCAGGCTGGCATCCGGGGCTAATATGAAATGGTAATTCCTTGCCTTTTAAACTGTAGTAAAATACACATAGCAAAACTTGCCATTGAACCATTTTCAAGAATACAATTCAGAGGCATTAATTATATTCAAATGTGGTGTAACAATAACTACTATATATTTCTGAAGTTTTTCATCATTTCAAACAAAAACTCAATACCCCTTAAACAATGACTCCCTGTTGACCTCTCCTCCAGCACCACTTTGGGTCTCACCGCATTTGCAAGTTCTAGATATTTCATGGAGTCCTAGTGTGGTGCTGAAAGATAAGCACTGGACTGCTAACCACAAGGTCAGCAGTTTGAACCCACCAGCCGCTACTCGGAGACCCTACACAGGGTCAGTATGAGTCAGAACCAACTCAACAGCACTTCACAACAACAACAAGATATTTCATTTACACAGGGTCATATAACGTGCGTCCCCTGACTTTTTTCACTTAGCATGATGTTCTCAAGGTTCTCCCATGTTACAGCATACATCAGAACTTCATTTTTATATTGCTGAATAACACTCCATTGTATGCATATGGAGTGTTTATGCATTTTGTTTATCCATTCATCTGTGGATAGGCTCATGGGTTGTTTCCACCATTTCGGTTACTGGGTATACTGCTGCTATGAATTCTGGGCTATACATATCTGTTTGAGTTCCTGCTCTCAAATCCTCTGGACATGTTGCCTAGGAATGGAATTGCTGGGTCATATGTATTTTTATGCTTAGCTTTCTGAGACCTTTCCTTTTTCATAGCACTTTTCTTGGAAGAACTTCACATGGGCTAGCCTCACTTCAACCTTCTACTTCCATTCCAATAAGGTGTACATAAAGGCAGTATTTCGTCCCTTGAGGGGCTAGTTAGAACTTGATTCCTTGGTCTCTAGGACCCCAACCCAGTTCATTTAGCAAGGAGCTGATTACAAGCATGTCTACACCAAGGGCCACTGGCCTTTTTTTAAGGAACAAGGATCTGTTTAACACCAAAACATGGCAGGGTGCCCCCTCTACTTACGTCATAGGAGTTGCTGTCCATTCTTTAAGAAAACACATGTCTTTTCTTAACTTTTAAAGAATTTAGCAATGCTTTAACAATGATATATTTCATTTACTCAAAAAGTACGCATCTGCATAGATTGGAAAAGTAGCCCCCACAAGAGCACATGAAGTAGCATTTATTCTGCCTCTACTCCATGCTTGTATACAAAGGGTCAACTAGGAAGCTCTTCCCGTAAGAGCCTGTGGCTCAGATACTGGTAATAATCCCTGGTTTATGGCACTCAGTTAGCTTAACACAAATACGTGTCTGATCCACCCTAACAGGTAGTAGGTTCTTCACAGTCCCACCCTGGGGTAATAACAAGTTTGAAATATAATTAATGGATCAGTTAACTAACACCCATAAGCCAGAAACTCCAGAAGTTTTAAGAAAACCTGTTCTTTTCATGAATAATTACAACTATGACTCAGGGCTTCAACTAGGTTCATTTCAGTTCGATCCCCTGCTGAGGATTTGCATTTCCACGCAGAAACGCTGAATCACAATCTACATTTTAACAAGATTCTCCAGGTGAGTTTTAGGTACACCCCTGGCAGCTTGTTAAGCTGCAGAGTCCTGTGCTGCTGACCGTGATGTCAGCAAATCGAATCTACCAGTTGCTCCATGGCTTTCTGCTCCTGTAAAGATTTACAGCCTCGGAAACCCTATACAGGGTCGCTACGGGATGGAACAGACTCCATAGCACACGACTACCAATCACCAACATATCAAACTATCAGAGTGGAAAGGCAAATTCTCAGCCTGGGATGGAGCTGGAATGAACCAGTTCAGAAGCCTTGCGATAAATCACGACTTTTCCGGAGTAGCGGCTACTTTACAAGATGCCACCAGCCCTCACCCCACACCTAAGCCTCATCCGTTACCTGTTCCAGGCCGAGTTAGAGCCCAGCTGCATAGCTTGCCGGGCTGCTTGGAATCGGGGCAGGTCGCTGAGGACCGGAGAGCTCATGAAGCGGGGTCTGGGTCTGCGGAAGGAGCCCATCTTGTGGAACTCGCTGGGCAGGCTGGGAGGGAAACCGCGGGTCATAAGTCCGAGTGCAGTTACCACTTCTCTGGACCAGAAGGGTTCAACTGCCCACAGAAAGGGCCGCTTCTGCTCCCAGGGCTGCCTTCTAGCCTTCAGGCTTATTTAAGACCACAAACAGGCCACACCTGAAAAGAGAGGGCAGTTTTTATTGAGAATTCCTGGGCTGAGCAGACCGCAGTTTAAGAGGAAGCTGTCTGGGGCTTTCCAACCCAACTATCTTAAAAACATCTCCAGTGCCCAGCAATTACATCCTATCCCCAGCAGATTCCCACTCACAAGACTTCGTGAGTCTCTTTTTAGTTGTAACAGTGTGGTCACTGTCAAGTGGGCAGGTAGCGACAGTGTGTCCAAGTACAGGCCAGTCCTACAGACAAGTGACTCTTCCACCATTCTTGACAGTGATTCTGACAAAAGCTCATCAAACTTCGGGCCTTGACTGGGTTTCTGTAAACCCCACATTGTGTGGATTAAGAGAGAGCTTTCCAAAACGCCTCCCAAACACAAGAACTTCCTGTCCTTCGTCACTGAACCCTGATATGCCAATCCATCTGTATTGCTCAATATTTCTAAGGGCCTTGTCACTCAGGTATATCTCTTCTCTTTTACCTGTCACTCACCATTCAATTTATCAGGTGTTTACTATTTGTTAACCATCATGAGCTGTGGCGGGCCCAAAGATTTCTAACACATAGTCGCGGCCTTCAAGGAGTTCAAGGTCTATGGGGTTGTTGTTAAGCGCTTTGGTTCTTTTGTGCAACCTCTGGTAACGTAGTGGTTACAAATTGGGCTGTGAACCACAAGGTCAGCAGTTCGAAACTACCAACTGTTCCATGGGAGAAAGAGGTGGCTTTCTGCTCCCGTAATGATTTACAGCCTTGGAAACCCTGTACAGGGTCGCTATAAGTCAGAACCGACTCCACAGCACACAACAACAACAACAACAACAACATGCAAAATAGAATGAAACACTATCTGATCACACATCATCTGCAAAACTGGTATTATGCTTGAACCCAGTATTGCTGCCATGGTGTCAATCCATCTTGCTGGGGGTCTTCCTCTTTTTCACTGACCCTCAATGTCTATAGAGAAGGTAAGTGTTCGTGTATTCATTCACACAGCAAATGTTTACTGAGAAAATATTTGTTGAGCACCTATTAGACACTGGGGATATAATGGTGGCCCCAGGGCACATGGTCCCTATCCCATACCACTTAGAACTATCACGTATTGTTCCATGTCATGCATAATCCCTCTTCTAAGGTTTTTGTTTGATTGTTTTTTTATCGTGTCTACTGTTCCCCTTACCCAAAATTCCTTTCTTTTTCTTCTCTGCTTACCCATGCCCAACTTACCCTGCAGGGTTGGATTCAAGAGTATTGTCTCCTTGTAGAATTTCCTGGGAGGTTTTGTGGCTAAATGGTTAAAGACAATGGCTTTGAAGTGAGTTCAAGTCCTAACCTGGCCACCCACAAATCGTGCAACTTTAGGCCTATTCCTTAACCTCGCTAAAAGTCCTTGGACTCCTGGTGCCGGTGCTGTAAGATCAGCACTGGACTACGAACCACAAGGTTGACAGTTCAAACCCATCAGCTGCTCCTTGGAAACCCTATACTATGACTCGGTATGAGTCAGAACTGATCTGATGACACTTAGCAACAACAAGAGCCATTGGCTGTCACCAACAGCCCCTTCACCAAGCTGGTGAGAAATGACACAGGAGATCTGACAGGCCCAACCAAATGGCCCTCAAGCATGGGCTCTTTTCATCCAGAACAATCTTTCTTACCTCTGCACCCTTGGACCTGCAATTTCAGTTTTCTTACTCTTTAATTGATCAAAGTCTAAATCGCTGGCATAAAATGAGTTGGAGAGTTTGTCAGCATTATAGTCACATTTATCTTGAGAATTTACCATTTAGCCCAAAACTCTTCTTCCCGCCACTTCCCTACCTGCTAACTCTGCTATATCCCCAAAACAAGACAAAAAGCAACTCACTGCCATCGAGTGAATTCTGGCACATAGAGGCCCTGTGGGACACAGGAGAACTGCCCCATAAGTTTCCAGAGTTGCACATCTTTACGGAAGCTGCTACATCTTTCTCCGCACGAAGGGTTGGTGGATTTGAACTGGCAATCTTTTGGTTGACAGCTAAATGCTTAATCAATGTGCCACTAAACCAGTGTTGAAATAGAAAGCTATTCCAGCCATCAATGTCAACCTTCCAGTTTGTAGAGGGAGAAGGTTTTGACGCCACAGCTGTAGTGTCTAAAGAGGTACCAATGTGCCACCTCCAAATAAAACATACTTCGTTGCTCAGAAGAGGAACAAGACAGCTGACATGGACATTAAGACATTCTCTCAAGTATGGATTTGGGGCAGAGGTGGGTGGGGGGACAGTGCAAGCAAGAGCAACAGCAATGAACTTGTCATTAAAAAGGAAAAAAGTACCATCAAGTTGATTCCAGCTCATGGCAAACCTACGTGTTGCAGAATCGAACTGCCTAGTAGGCTTTTCTTGGCTATAACCTTTACAGAAGGGGCTCTGGTTGTGTAACCGGTTACATGTTAGAATGTTTATCTGCCAGCTGCTCTGGGGGAGAAAGATGAGGCTTTCTGCTCCTAAAGATTTATAGCCTCTGGAATTCGATACAGGATCACTAAGGGTCACAACTGACTCGATGGCACGCAACCACCACCAGATACCATTTTTAACTAAGGAGCCTCAGTGGTGTTATAGTTTGGTAGTTCAAACCTACCCAGCAACTCGCTATTCTCCTATGTCACATAAGCTCCTTATGAATAGTTAGAATAGATTTCGATGATATACAACAAAGCAGTGTCCTGGGTCTTTCTTTCACAGAGCAGCTGCATGGGTTGGAACTGCCAATCTTTACCAGCCAATTACAAACCCAAGCTCCTGTGAACTTATAATACCAAAAGCCAAAAAATAAATAGCTTGTCATGCCTCTTACATTTTCTTTTCTTAAAGAAAAACAGACGTGTGAACCATTTTATTTTATTATCTTTTCTATCCCTCTACGATTCAACCGCATTTAACAACCGTCACCACCACCACCCCATGTTCAGGAGTCCTGCTGTGGCACCATGGGATAAAGCACTGGACCGCAAGGTGGTTTTGAACCGCAAGGCCATCAGTTCAAACTCACCTTGAAACGCTATGTGCAGAACTGACTCTACGTCACTTAGTAACACCAACACCACCCTATGCTCAAGGAGCCCTGCTGGTGTAGTGGATTATGAGTTGGGCTGCTAGTCTAAAGGTCAGCAGTTTGAATCCACCTGTTGTTTCATGGGAGAAAGATGAGGCTTTCTGCTCTCGTAAGATTTACAGCCTCAGAAACCCTATACAGGGACTCTATGAGTGGGAACTGACTCCACAACACATCATCACCACTAACTACCCTATGCACAGAATGGGCAATTTATTGTTGTTGTTGTTAAGTGCTGTTGAATCGGTTCTCACTCATCACGACCCTGTATAGGGTTTCCAAGGAGCAGCTGATAGTTACTACAATTTTTCATGTACAAATCCAGAAATGAAGTGAAAAAGAACAAAACTACGGATACACCTTCAGAATTCTTAAACTGACAAGTCTGGGATTCAGCTTACAAAGTAAAGGTCACTCTCTGAAGACAGTCTCCGTTTCAATGCCCTTCCATACATGGCCTGCTATGTGCAACTCATCTGTGTAATCACAGGACGTGAACTGTGTAATCACAGGACATGACTCCTTTTACGAGGACCTTACAGCTGAGGTGTTGAATCTCCCGCCCACTCCTGCATTTCACTAGGAAGTAAAGAGGTGAGGAAAACAGACTGTTCCAGGTGTTTACCTTTAGCCTTCCTGTGGAAACAACCACTTCTCCAGCAGGCTGGGAGCCACAGGCATCGGAGATCAGCAGCTCTCCACCCCCATGCCTTAGACCCCCACTCCAAGCCATTTGAGGCCTCCTGTCCCTCTTTAAATGGACAATTTTCAGCCCAGAGGACAAAGACCGCAGAGTAGCAAAGAGCAAGAGGCTGCTCTGAGTCATTTTTCACCTCCCAGATCAGCCCCTCTTAGACACTGCCGAATTACCCAATAAGCATGGTAAGCCAGGCTCGGACATTGTTTCGTTCTGCTGTGCACGGGGTCGCTATGAGTCGGTTCTGACTCGATGGCACCTGACAACAACAACAACATGGTAAGCACAGGCTTACATGTGCTTACCTGCCAATCTATAGTGAACAATTTCTCATTTTTCACCAAATCAAAGCTCCTGCTTCTAGGTCTAGCTGGCCTCAGCCTTTCTCCCAAGCCCACAGTATCTTGATAAAAAAGCAAAACCTCTTTTCAAATTGGCAATCCCTGACAAGGATGGACAACCTAGTGAACAAAGTAAGCACTTGTTTACTTGTGCTTATTAATACGGATCTGTAGTGAACAGTTAGGAAATAAGCACAAGTAAACCTGTGCTTACCTCACATATTGGGTACTCCGCCCTTGGTTCTCAGATCCTGCCAGGCTGAGAAGACTTGGAACCGTCTTTGTTTCCACCATTCATTCCTACCTCTGACCAGAGTCCAGAGAGCTCCCCAGAGGCCAGAGAGGAAGTTGTTGGGAGCGCTGACACACTCTGGATCCACCTGCTATGGCACGGGCCCCTCAGGCACAAGCTTGTCCTGACCTAAATATGAAAAGTCAGAAAATGATGAGCCAGGAGACCCTAAGTGCCAGCATACAGATGACGAAAGTGAAGCCAGAGAAGCAAAGAAATGGGCTCAAAGTCACCAGGAATGACAGGAACCCAGTTTCCCTGATTACTGATCTGGAGAGTTCCTCAGCCCCCACCTATGCAATTCGATGAGAGGACATTAGTTCTTATTCATCTTTGTATCCTCAGGCCTCAGCTCACTGTTCAAAACTAAAACTGAAAGAAAGGAATAGGAAATCAATAAGGCATCGGCTGTCCACCTGACACCGTGCTAGGCACCA